CGCGAAGGCTGTTGCCCCGCGGAGCGGTGCCGCTGCATGGGGCAGCACTGGCCGGAGCTCTCTCTGCCCCGGCTTGGACCGTGCCCAAAGCTCCGGGGCCATCTGCACCCAGCAGCGCTTCCCGCTGCGTTAAGTTCGAGAAGGCAGACCATAAAATCCTAAACAAAAATCCTGAAGAGTGGCACTGTAAATCTGCATGTAACTCTCTTCACAAGAAGGAAAAAATAGTAAAAAACCCCACCCAAGTGTGGAATTGCCGTATGATGCACTGAAGACCCTCCTCGATCACGTGCAAGAGTTTTGCTCTTCTGTAAGATAAACAACTGATACCACCACGTTTCCTCTTGGTGATTTTTTTTTTTTTTAAAGTGCACTTGAAATGGGTGTTGACATCAAGACAGCATGTTATTACCTGGAGAAGGAACTGGCAAGCCTGGATTGTGAGGAGATAGATGAGGGAAGCTGGTCTCTTATGACAGGAAAAAGTGTCTCAAAACTGCATCGCCTCCCATCCACCACAAGGGCTATTTTTGTGACTGTCATTACAACTTTCCCATGTTCAGTCTGAAATGCTTAACAGAATTTTAAAGCATTTCTTTCTGTATGAAGCTGCATAAAGGAATTTCCAAACCAAGAAGCAGCACTTACAATTGAAACAAGTATTTTTGTCATAAGTAACCTCTTGACCTAATGCTTATACAAAACGTTTTCCATATATGACACTCACCTAAAATACATTTAAATAAGATCAAGTTTGGAAATTTGTATTAAGAGGTGGTCTTACCGACAGATGTCAAACCAGTGGTATCTGAATGCATTTTGAAGTCTGATGCCGAGTATCTTTAACCTATAGCAAAAGGGAAACTTCGCATGATGCTAAAGAATATAAATGTCAGCAGTAAGAGCAAGTGCTATTTCTGTAAGTTAGATCTTAATTTTATTCCTTTTAGAAACAAAAATTTTATACCCAATTATAAACACTGAAATAACAACAAAACCCAGACGTTTGTGAAGTCAGAGGCCCGTATGCTGGCAAAGAGGAGTGCTCCCTGTGATTTACAGCTCCAAAGTACAGGAAGGGTAGGGTCAAGCTTGTACTGAGCTCGTGGTCTACGATGGCATCCTGGGCATCACTGATTCTGGAGGAGCAGTGCTGCAGAGATTTCTGTTACCAGCATCTGCTGCTTTTTGAGGCTACCAAGCACAAGCTGTTTTTGACAAAGTCGGGACTGGTGTACTGCAGAAGCATGGTTCTACAGAGTGCTTGTAACCCAGTCAGCAAACAAACCTCTTTCTTCTGAAAACCCCTGCGGAGACCTTAACTCAATGCAGTGCAGATGAGCCAATTCAACAAGAACGTGCGGCAATGAGATACACAGTTGTTTCCTCAAAGTACGTCAGACCCTCTCACATACCTTGGGGAGTCAGCTATGGCCAAAACTAAGTCGTTGCTGCCACACATTTAATTTTCTGTTTGCTTGTCCTTAGCCCTCATCCTTTCCTAGCTGGGAAAGTTGCCATGTAATGCTCCCTCTGCTTTGTCCTTTTCTCGTGACAGTGCCCAGCAATGAATACACTTCAGGGGTTTTTGATTAGATGACTTTGTGGTTCCTTTTCTTTTCTTTTTTTTTTTTTTGAGGAAAATCTCTACTATCTGGTAATTTAGAATGCGTGACCAGTAAAATTTTCTGCCTCCATAGTTATTCCTTTGAAACTACTTTGTTTCTTCCAAGCTCCATCTTTAGTTTGTGGCTGCTGTGTATTTTTTTCATAAAATCCTTCTGAATTTTTGCTGGTTGTTTCTTCATTCTACTGACTAGGAAGTGCTTGTATAGCTGCCTGAGCAGTTCTTGATTTTGACTGATTGATCTGTCAGTTCCAAGGTTGAGTGACTACATAGAAATGAACTGGGTTTATTGTACTTTTAAGTATATTGCAGTGAGTATAAGAGCAATACGGAATTATTGCAACATGGAATTCAGTTTCAAATGTATTTTGGCTTTTGAGTTCACTTTGCTTTTAAATAACTTCCCCTCCCCCTTATGTTTAGGAAGTACAGAAGCTGAATCAGCAACTAGAGGAGAAAAATGGAGAGATACAGCAGATGATAAATCAGCCTCCATATGAAAAGGAGAGAGAAATCTTACGACTTCAGAAGAGCCTGGCAGAGAGAGAGAAGGCTCAGGCCACCAGCGATGTTTTGTGCCGTTCACTCACTGATGAAACTCACCAACTTCAACGCAAGTTAGCATCCACAGCAGAAATGTGTCAACATCTGGCAAAATGTCTAGAAGTGAAGCAAAGAAAAGAGAAGGGGAATTCAGATGACAAGATACCTACCGAAAGATCTAATCAGGTATTCTTACTGCTACTGTGTTTTAAGCTTCTGAGTAGAGAGAAACATACCTTTAAATAATTTATGTAGGGTGAGAAGACTACCATAGCGAGCTCTAAATAATTCCACATACCAGGAATTCAGGATAGAAGAAGTTGCCAATCACTTGCATTTCCACCATTTCACCTATCTCATTATCAGAGGCTTTTTTTGGAGAGGATCTCGAGAGGGATCTTTGGAGAGGTTCCCTTCCAACCCCAGCAGTTCTATGATTGCAATTCTTCCCCTTCCAACCCCAGCAGTTCCATGATTGCAATTCTTCCTTGCATTTACAGGCGACACTACCTTCTTTATCCCACATCATGCCTCTGTGCATCGCTAGGTGGTGCTATGCTTTTGAAGGTTATACCTCCTTGTTCAAGCATCTAAATCACAAAACAAAGTAGAGATATTTAAAAATAATATTTATATTAAGAACTCCATAGCAAACATCTTTGCAAACGTAGTACAGACCTACAAAAAACTGGCTAGGGAGGAGTGAGTCAAGGTGTCTTACCTTCCCCTCCCCACCCCGGGTTCCTCCCTGGCCTCCCAGTGCAAGGCAATGTTTTCTCTCCAGCAGGGATGTTTCCTAAAATTGCTTCATGGTAGGAAGGGGGCAGAAGTGCCACTGAGGGGCACAAAGAATCACATGGTGTTTTACATACTTTGCTAATGGCTGTGGGTTTTTTTCCCACATTCTCACCTTGGCTGAAGCTTTTCCATGTAGGGTAGAGGTAGATCATGTTGTTCTGTTGTTCCAGAAGTCATGATGGTTTGGAGCTCTTAGGTAATTCATAATACCCTAAGGAAATAACATTGGAGGTGCTGCCTCTGGTAACAGACCATTGAGTAGGATGCTACAGACAGTTGTCACAAAAAAATAGTAATTCTGTCTCATGCTCTTACTGCCACGTAGTGATAATGCTGTGTTTCACATGACCACTCATCTGTGCTCACTTCTACTTCGTAAAACATTCCAGGAGCATTTCCAAAGAACATTTATTCACATTAAAGTTATCTGTAAGAAATAGAGGTTGGCTAGATATAAGACAAAAAGGACTTGTTAGGGGACTGGAGGTATTTAGCATCATCATATTTTACATGTAATTGATCGACAGGAAACTTGATTGACTTTGATATATGTAATAAGTAGCTAACCTTGTACAGTGGGGACTTCCCTGTTGAAGAAGAGAAATTTCAGATGCAAGTACTAGCTGATTCTAGGGAATTTCATACAAAAGTGCTCTATATTACTCATGTACACTGGGGTTTTTTTAAGCAGATGTCACAGCTGTAAAAAAGGGGTATCATTTTAGTCAATTATTTAGCAAGCAGGGTTTTTTCCCCTCAGTAATTTCTTCCTAGTACTGGCCAAAATTGACAGTAATAATAAAGCAAGATGAAGGCATATCTGTGTCTTTGTCATGCGCTCCCCCGCTCCATACAAGTAGTTTCCAAGGAGTTTGTTTAAACCATTAAGCGCTTTTGTTATCGATGTAGACCCTCATGCGTGTAAAATGTGTGGTGTTCTTCTTGTGACCATTAGTAGGCTCAGAAATTAGCAAGACATACGTTTTTATGACACCACACACATCTATTTAAAAGCAATACTAAGGTGGTAAAAACACAAGTACATTTTTGCTCTGCTTATTAAAAATAAAAGCTGTAGGCTATACTGTTAGTATTTAGAAATATATTATAGAAATATACTATATAGAAGTACAGAAATATACTATATAGAAATACACTATATAGAAGTAAGTAGACATAAATGTATGTGTTTCACATAGTAAATAGCTTTAGAGGAATGTAAAAAAAGAGATTACTCCCAGTTTAACAGCATTGCTAAGTAGCATTTTGGGGTTTTTAATGTTAAACACTTCCTTTATCTGAAAATTACAGCCTTTAGGTGATGAAACTTCACTTCAAGCTCTTATCTGCAACCTACAAGAGGAAAACAGGATGTTAAAACAAAAAGTAGCTCACGTGAGTATTTTCATTCTGTACAAGGTTAAGATTTGATTATTTTGAATTACAGTAAATTTGGAACAGGTAAGGCCTGGTTTATCTCGTTAAATGGTAGTTTAATGCCAGTCCAAAATTTTCCTTAGTCTCTTTGACACTGTACATAGTCTTTGTTCCCTTAGCTAAGAACAACTTATGTTATTTTTAATATATTGAGGTTTTGTTGTTAAAAATAACCCGCAGAAGAAAATTTTTGTATTCCTTCTGTGTATCGTTAGCTCCAGCCCAGGAGAGCATCACTAGGCCCAGGGTGACCTCCAACCCCTGCCACTGCACGTTATTTACTGCTGTCCCTACGGATGGGCAAGGGGGAAGGGCTGCCTGCGGAGAGGCTGGCTCGGAGCATGAGAATCTTCTGCTCTCCTGTAACGTGGCTTACCCACAGGGAGCTGCCGAGTCAGCGCATTACGTTATCTTTTAGAAAGTTTTGGTCCTGCACATGCAGACAGTCTGTGAAGGCTTGGAAGTTTGTGTCCTCACGTTCGTGTCTTCATGATCTTCATGACTCTCTTCTCAGGTGGAAGACTTAAATGCAAAATGGCAGAAATACGATGCGAGCAGGGACGAGTATGTGAAGCGACTTCACTTGCAGCTGAAAGAGATGAAGTCGCAGCTGGAGCAGCAGCACGGCACAACTTCAGCACAGACGAATTCTGATCTGATGCACAAGGAGATATTCCGGTTAAACAAGCTACTAGAAGAAAAAATGAATGAATGCATAAAAATAAAGAGAGAATTAGAAGACGTGAAGAAGGCTAGTGAAGGAGATAATGAGCGCATACAAATGTTGGAGCAACAGGTCATTACGTTTCTTTTTCCTAGAGGTGGGAATTGTGTTTCTCCCCAGACCACTGGAGTCCACAGGGGAAAAATGAAATTATTTCTTTTGACATTTGCCACTTGTCTTGACACATTTGGCTATACAGATACTTAACAACACAGATTTAAAGGAAACTGCATGCAGTTCTGGGGCCTTTAATACAAAATGTGAAAGACCTGGAAAAGAAATACAAATACCTTTAAAGTACAGATATGATAGAGAAGATAATACTGAGATTCTGAGAACAAGTATTTACAAACAAAGGAAGCACAGCCTCAACTGTTTAATCTAACCTGCCAATTTGTAGAATATTAACATAATGATTCTTTTCCAGGTCCTAGTTTACAAAGATGATTTCACATCTGAGAGGTCAGACAGAGAACGAGCACAGAGTAAAATACAAGAGCTTCAGGCAGAAGTTGCGTGTCTGCAACACCAGCTAGCAAGGAGACAGGTAAGAATGCAACATACTACTTTTTCAAATAAAGCATGTCAACAGGATTCAGGACTAAAATATACTTTTAAATATATTTTTAAAAAATCTTAGTACTTTTAAACCCATTTCAGCTCAGTGCAGCTATCAAAACTTGCATTATTTCATAGTCAGTTCTAGTGGAGATGCTTCCCAATGCACATCTAATACCACTTTACAGTCCATTTTCCTTCTGTTTTGGATCAACATAGTAAGGGTGAATTCTTAAAAGGAAAAGAAGGACAGTTATGACTCTTGTAATGGTGGCATCTTTCAAGTAGCATACTGGCTATGTTCTCGTGTTTTCTACAAACCTTATTCCCTTTCTCTTCCTGTCTGGGAAGGGAGTGGGGTTAGAGAACATCTGTCAGCATTCAGTGGCCAGCCCAGGCCTAACTCTTGGCAGTACATCTGCCAAAGATGCAACTGATGCATATTTTACTTACAGATCTTCTGATAAAACCATGATTAGTGTTCCAGATAAAGGTGATAAAATGTTCTGTTACCGAACAGCTTTTTACTGCATCTTCTTTCAAGAGCTCCTCTTTCTCTTTCTAGGAATCAAGAGACACAAGCAGTCATTTCAGAGTTCACATGGGCAAACAAAATCATATGTACGTACAGACGAATGTTGAACATCTACGAGGCAATAGCCCGGGCCAAACAGGCACGAGAAGAACACCTTCACAGTCTGAACAAGCTGCTTCTCCTCCTGTGGACAATGGAAACACAGGATCCGAGGGCAGGGCACAGGGTGAACTTAGATGCCCTCATTGTATGAGGTTTTTCAGCGATGAACTCAGTGACGAATTCCTCAAGCACGTTGCTGAATGTTGTCAGTGACCACATGACATGAGGCGTGTAAGTCAATCACTACTTTATAGACAGCAAACTTTGCTCTATCTCCTACAGGCCTAAACCAGAGTGCTTCATGTGGACGGCTCTTAGGAATTAGGAAGATGAACAATATCTACCTCTTACTTGATTTCACCTTCTCTTGGACTGTATGAAAGACTTCAAGATAAAGCAAAATGTTTTTCTGAAGAATTATTTTTGACAGCTACTGGGAAAGCAAACATAATGAAAATTCTACTCCAAACTAACCTGAAACTTACAGTCATAGTTAGCTTCAGAGTGCAGCTGGACTTGTATTTGAGTCTAATTCTTTACAGCAGTCTGAAAGCTTGGGGAAAAAAGCTCCTGAACTTGAAATTTCCATCCTCTTCCAAAAATGTAGGCTGAAGAACAAGGGGGGAGCATTTTGGCAGAAGATAGGAAAAATTTTACTGTGCTTTATCTGGATTTTTAAAAGTGAAAGTATTTTCTTGTCATTTCATCTGAAAATCTTTGTGTTCCACTGCAATCAGGAGAAGTGAAGAAAACATGAAAGGGCTGGTTATTGACTCAAACTAGCCTGTCTTTTTGCACAGAAACAATGTACAGGGATATTTATTTTTTCTGTGCCATAAGTAACTATTTTACATATTTGTAAATGTGTATTTGTCTAATTATTAACTGTATTCCTATTTTACCTAAAGATTATTTTTATAATAAAAGTGATTGTGCAGTTGCTTTACTACATTAGTAAAGTGTTCAAAAAAAATCTCTTTCAGTCTAAGTATTTAAATGTGAAACTATACTCATCATCAAGGCCAGGCTTTGCAAACGAAGAT